GGACGGCCTTTCTTACTTGATTTTATCGGACTCCCTAAGTAGCCTTTTGGCGTTACGGAGTTTTAATCCAGTTGACCCGATCGTTCAAGACATTTTAGCTCGACTTCAGTCAGTGGAACAATCGGGAAAATTTGTTCAGTTCTGCTGGATTCCCAGCCACGTCGGCATACACGGCAACGAGCTGGCAGATGCGGCCGCGAGGCGCGCGGCCGCAGCCTCCTGCACTCGACGTCTGCCATTGCCGGCGCGTGACCTTTATTCGGCTGTGCGATCTTTCATTCTCTCTGAGTGGCAGGCAGAGTGGAGCCTACGTGGAGGCGGAAAGCTCCGTGAGGTGAAGCCGACTTTGGAGCCATGGAGGTCTTGCTTGCAAGACAACCGGTCCAACGAGGTGATCTTGTGCAGGCTCCGAATCGGCCATACATATGCCACGCATGGCCACCTCCTCCGCGGAGACGAGCAGGCCATTTGCAACGGTTGTTCCGCGCCTCTTACCGTCGCTCACGTGCTCTTATCTTGTCCACTTTTAGAACCAGACCGGACGCGCTACCTCGGCCGCATCGCTCCGGGTACCACTGTCCGCCACCTGCTGGGTGACGAGTCACCCTGGGTTTTATCTGGCAACATCTTTTCCTTTATCCGTGCAGTCAAATTCCAAGCGATTTACTCGACCTGACCCAAATCCTCTCTAGTCTCCTTGTCTAGTCAGTTGTCTATTACGACGCTTTTGCGTTGTTTTATTTTACCCTGTCTTTTTTTTATAAAGTCTTCTACTTTCTAGTCTTGATATCTAGAAAGTTTCTTCTTTTGAAACACTTGTTTTACTAGCGCGACGTTATGGGCGCAAAATGACCTTTGCAGTCGACGCGCCCTAAAGCCCCAATAAACAACAAAAAACAAAAAACCTTGTGCTCTGTTCCCCGACTCTCTTCGGGGCGTCACGTAGGAAGACTTGCACTTCCTTCTCCACCTCCACGTTAAGTGGTTTTTGGCTCTGCCATGTTCTTGGCCGCGCTCGCCGTCGGCGTGCTGTCCGCCTCCACCCGCATGATCTCGTGCTCCCGGAACCACATTGTTGACCCCTTTTGCAGCGCGCCATCTTGAGATTGAACACATAGTGAGCGACGCCGTGAAAGTACCCAACGTCGGAGTCCATCAGTCATAGAGACACTTTGTGTGTGACCTTCAAAATATGCCTTAAACCACGGAGTCATAGAGACACTTTGTGTCTGACCTTCAATAAAGGCCTTAAACCACGGAGTCTCGACGCCGTGCAATGTGAGTTTGTCAAGTAGGAGTTTGTGATCGATAACGTTGAAGCATTTGCTAAGATCGATGAGGCACAGGAACTATATTTCTCCGCTGTCCGTGGCAGTTTGGTTGTGGTCAGTAACGGGCAGAATGCGGTCTCGGTGGAGTGCCGGGGTCAGAAGCCGTGCTGGCTAGATGCCATAGGATGATTTTCATTAAGCCAGTAGATGCTTGTAGTCTAAACAATAAGTATATAGCTCAAGCTACTCAATGCCTGTCGGTGTCCAACAAATTTCAACAATCATTTACTGAGATGTCACAGATATTGATATAATGTACTCGTGCTCGAGCGGGGACGTTATATTCATACGCGTGTGAGAACAAACTAATCGGTAGGTAGCCCATGAACAAGCAGGCTTGTTGCGTACCTGTGGCTCCAGATCAGATAACTTGAATAGGACTGACAGAGCCAGTCCCAGGAGCCCCAGGCTCAGGAGGGTCACCACCACGAGTCCGAGAGTTCTGCAGTAGTTGCACATCTTCAATGTTGACGGGCGGAGCGCTGGTCCGAAAATGACGCTCAGGCACGCCTCCCAGCCGCTCACGCCCCGATTGGAACATGTGCGCGGACGCGCGTCTCGATCAATTTCTCGGACGAGTTCCGGCCGGGCGATAACTTCTGACAGAAATTAGTAATTTAATGATGTGAAAGAAATTGAAATGGAAATAAAGTTCATATCTCAACCTCATTTCCTTGATGTGGCGAAGTACTTTGCTGGCAGTTCATCATCTCCAGTATCCAGCAATGCTCCCACTGCTTGGGCATGTTCTTCCTCCAAATGCAGCAGCATTTCTACTTCATCTACTACTTCTACTACGGCCGGCCGTGTCCGGCTTTACAGCAATCACACACACACGCACACGTGCCTCGAGGGCACCGTCACATCCGCGGGAAGCACACCGCTCGTGGGCCGTTGTACAGCTCGCAAGAGGAAGCGAATGGGACGCGGCTGCTCCCTATCTGTTCACACCCCTTCGCCTCATTCAACATCATTCGTGACGCTTTTATGAATTCAATTCCGAGTAGCACGTCATAGGGCAAGCCCTGTATGACGCACATTTTGTGTTCGAGTTTAAAAGCCCCTATTTCAACCGTCAGCACCGCCTCGCCGATATTGGTCAGCTCTCCGCCGGTAACTTAGCGGAGTCAAATGCCGCCTCCGGCGCTCTGGCTAGGTCGCACGGGCAGCCTCTGCCACGCCGCCGCGGATAACAGCGTCACTGAGGACCCAGAGTCCAGCAAAGCTGAGAAGCTCTGATCTCCCACCCTCACTTTCAACTTTGGCAGCTCCGACTCTCTCTCAATGAGACCATTTACCGAGAGAACGTCATCCTCCCCCGCCCTGTCTACTCCATCAGCCAATCGGTCGGGCGCTTTCCCGACTGGCCCTACCAGTTTAAAGGCTGCTGCTGAAGTGGCTGATGACCCGGCACCATCTCGCACGTATCTCCGTGTCCGTGTTATTCTCTCCGTGTTATCCTCCTTTTCTCGTGACTCCGGAAGGTGTAGCTGGGAGGACTCTCCGGGATCCAGCGGTTCAGCCGCCGGAATCGGCAGGCTGATGTTGATGTCCTCCCAAGGACTAGAGTTCCCGTTGGGAGGTTCCAGCATTCTTGTAAAATCTGCCTGGTCGAGCTGCAGTGCCTCGGCCAGCAGATGGCTGATATCGTCGTCCTCGTCCATATCCAGGCATGTTTCTGCAGGCTGAACTGGCTGCAGAAGTTCGCCAAACTGTGGGTCGCTTTGAGAGGCTGCTGAGCCTTGTAGCCGCGCCTCCAAGGCCGCCACTCGCCTTTCCAGCGCGGCGCATCCCGAACACGAGCCCGCCAGTTGGATTTCTAGGCGGGCCAACCGCTACTCCATGTCATTCATCCCGGACTCAATCATACGACCTGGAACAGAGAAAATAACGACAGCACAACCTGGTATCACGATTTTATGGTGAAATAGCTGTACTAAAGGATCCGGCTACGGGATCGCTTGCCGTTACCGGCGGACTCTGACGTCCCAAAATAGTGGTCACGTGAGTGTTACAGCCCTCACCACCATGTACACCATGTAGGTCCACTGGTCCACCCTAGATTCTGTATCCTAATTTAGCACTCATGCTGATACTGTACTCGAGGTTTGCATACCCTCCCATACCGTGAGACGTAGGGCGTCTTCGGCTCCTCGTGAGGACTTCCCTTTAACTCATCAACGAACCAGACCCAAGAAGGTAGCCGGTTATCGGCTTTTATCTCAGTTCTTTCTCTTGTTTTTCTGTGTACGGCCTTAACTGAAGTGTGCTGTTGACCGTCCTTCCTTGTGCTAGCTACCGTTATCTTCCCGGTCGCGGAGGCCTCATCTCCCTGCTGCGACCCCTCCTTGGTCACGTTAGGCTTATCTTTTTCTGGTAGCCGTTCTTTGGCAGGTTTCAGGAAATTGTGGTGAGTTGCCACCATCTTGCCGTCCTTCATCATGGCTCTGTAAACAACGCCTCGTTCGCCCCCAACCTTTTCGATAATGGTCCCGGGCCCTTTGTAACGTAGCGCCAACTTGCGCTTGCCTCCAGCGTGGGCGGTGTGGTCTCTAATCCACACACTTTGTCCTTGTACGTAGCTGGCTCCTCTAGTCGTTCTCGCAGCTCTCTCTTGCATCCTAGAACTTCCCTCGTCAATATTTTCTTTGGCTAGAAGGAAGGCCTTCCGCAATTCGTTCAGGTGGTTTTCAACGAACTTAGCTGTTGTTGATGGTCAGCTGGACCGACGGCCCGCCCAGCACTCACCGACGCACGGAAGGCCCGCCCGAGATCGAGCGGACCCGCTCAAGCGGCGAAAGGGACCAAAGTCCCACATAAGCACGCTGATCAGGGGGGCTGCGTACAAACTCGCCCACATTTTTGCCACCGATGCCAGCTAAGTATCGAACCTGTCGATGGATGTAAAAGGTTAACATCCTCCCAACTCTTTGCAGCCCTAAATGGACTATTGCATTTCGATCGAAATGTCCTGTCAGAAACCTGTTACATTATTAACGATATTCAACCATAGATGTTTTCCAGCTTCTTCCGCTTTCGGGTGATCCAGAGTTTCCTCAAACATTTCCAGTTCCCCCGAAGAGCTGATTGGAGAGCGGACGTACTGCTCCCCTGCTCTTTCTCCTCGATGGTGATGTTTCTATCCAGGCGCTGAAGAGTCATCCAGCACCTGGTGGAACAGCCGAATCAACTTTGTCCTCGCTGCAAATGGGAAGACATTTGAATGCAGGAAACTGCCGTTCGCTATTGCCGAACTGTTATATAACATGACTTGGTACATCATGATAGGCAGCAACCTTATGGTGTAAAATGCATACAGAAACAAACTATCAGCACGCTGGTAGTAAACGACCTTTCAATGATCATACCATCAAATACGTGAATAGATGTGTGCGTGCGAGTCGGGAGAAGTATTTCGCCTTGTTCTTTCTCCCTTCCACGCCGTATTCGCCAGAGAATTCGCGACGGTGACGGGATGTCGGTGAGAACTGGCTGCGACTGCTGCCGGGCCCATCCCCGCTGGAAGTGACATCGCTCGTCCGAGGACTCGCGCTGCTTCTAATTCCGGCATAACCCGGTCGTAACCGCCTCGACATGAAGTCTGACCGGACCGGTTCTTCCGACTGACACGTGTGTTCTTTGCCGGTACTGCGGCCGCGACTGCGGCAGGCGGCGCTTGGGACTACGTGGGACCACTGAGGACTGAGGAGAGCGTAGCCGAGGAACACCGAGGATTACCTGGGACCGACAGACGACACCTGGGACCGCCGAACACTACCCGGGGAGCCATGCTGCTGCTAGTGGAGGCGTTCTACGCGGGCTCTCACCGGCAGCTGATCACCACACTGATGGACGGTGAGGAACGGGAGGGGGGATGGCGTGATCTTATGTGTATGTGGGGGAGGGGGGGGGGGGGAGCTGACAGCACATCTCATCACTGGTGAACGGTGAGGGACGGGGGATAGAGTGTGGTGATTTTGTGTGTTGGGACGGGGAAGGGGAAGCTGACAGCGCAGTTCTTCGCCACACTATAGGGAAGTCACCACACATTGGAGGGGTTGTGGTGTTTGAACACAAACCTTGTGTTGTGTGGGCATGGGCAGAAGGGGGTTAATGGTAGCATTGACCCTGCTTCAGTGTGCACTTGTTGTTGGTCTGTCGGTCCAGTTATTTTAGTATGTCGTCTGATCTATTCGCCTGTTTATATGAGAACTGTAAGTCGCCTGTTGCCTGTTGACCGCCAGGTCTACGGCTCGATGAGACCAACTGTCGGCTGGTGACCATGTCGGGTCGGAAGTGGCACTGGCGCGCGCGGACCTCGGCGCTGCACCTGGCCCAGCATATTCCCCGCGAGACCTACAGGTGGGCAGCTACCGCGAGACGTACGGCTCTAGCGAGATTAAGCGGTAGGTTTTGCACTTTTACATTTCCGGTTATATCTCAGAAACTAATCGATCTACGATGAAGCCATTTTACACGATCATGGCCGGCTTGTGAACCAACAAGTCGATCGCATCTTTAACACTTAAAACCTTAAGACGACGAAGATATAGCCTGAAGTACACTAAATTTTCTAGGTGCAAAACCTACCGCTAAAACCCGCGAGACCTGTACAGGTGGGACATGTCTTAAAAGTACCGCGCAAAGTGACTGTGGATCCATCAAGCCTGACCGAGGAAGGGCCTGCTAAATTTGAGTCACCGAAGCAATTTATATCCTCGCCCATTCCCCAGGTCAATTGGTTAGGTGACTTTCAAACTATAGCAGGCCCTTCCTCGGTCAGGCTTGGTGGATCCACCGTCACTTTGCGCGGTACTTTTAAGACAGACTGTACAACGAGACGTACAGATGGGGCATAACAGCTGGGAGATTGGTGTTCAGTGGAACGGTCATCTCACATTTGTCTCAAGATCGTTTGCACGTAATGTGACGTATCGATAAAGGGGGGGGGGGGGCTGGATGCGTTTCATGTCCGTCATTTCCCAGTTGTCAGTCGCAACGTTGTTGATCTTTTTGTCTTCACTGTTTCTAGTTACTTTTTATCAGTTGGAGCTATAATATCGTATCGATGGTTGTGTAAAATGTTAACATAAGCACCGAAACACCGGATTCATCTCCACGGGTGCTCTGTCGTCCGTTCTTGATCGCTCCCAGCACACGCGCCCCCACCACACCCTTGGCACCTGACTCCCCCTCTCCCTGGGACCCGGCAGCGTACTGTTCACCTCGTCGGTGACTCCTCTGGCCGAGCTGTGCGGCCTCCGACCGGACCTGGCCGCCGTGCGAAAGGTGCTCTACTTCCACGAGAACCAGCTGGTGTACCCAGTGAGAAAGGCAGCCGACACCGACTTCCAGTACGGCTACAACCAGATCACTGCCTGGTGAGTGGCCTCGTCACCGCTGGCGAGTTACCTGATGACTGTCTGGTGAGTGACGTGCCGCCTTAGTTGGGCTTGTTTTGCAAGTGCTAGTGATGACGTGTGATAGCTTGTTTTTAGAGGGGGCTAAAAGTTGGTTTATGTCGTGCTAGACATATTTGCCATACTTTGTGCTAGACCTTGCCTAAATGGGCTTTGATGCTTTGTATCTGCATGGTGCGGCAACTGACGTCTTGATAACACGTAAAGCCGGTCGTGCCTGGTCAGGCCTTGACCTGATGTTCACCTGACAACTCTGGTACACGATCTGGTAGAAAGCGCTCGATTACAGCTCACCTGACAGCTTTGTACATCATCTGACACCCTAATGTGCGTTGCAGCCTGGTCGCAGACGAGGTGGTGTTCAACTCTCTGTACAACATGGAGTCGTTCCTGAACAACATAGACCACTTCATGAAGACCCAGCCGGACTACCGTCCCAGGGGACTGGCTGAACAGGTGCGGCACCGGGGGCTCCGTGATTTTAAATTTGGCATTATTCTATGATAAAACACCAGGGCAACAGAGTACTCTTAGTTGAGAGATGAACATCATAATGCTTTGTTGTGGGCTCTGTTGTAGGTGTCAATGCAAACTTGGGTTTTCTCGATCGCTACGAAACAAATAATGTGAAATGTATCCATAATCATTCCGTGTTCCGTATCTAGGTAATACATTGCAATTCATGCCATCTCCAACGTTTCCTAGATTCGACTACCGTTCTGTTTCCCAACTCATTCGTGTCGTTCGCTTTTCGCCGGAGTAAGACTAACCGTTAGTGCTTGCAACTTCGACAGATACGGGTGAAGTGCCGGGTGCTGTACTTCCCGCTGTGTGTTCCGGAGACTGTCCTGGCGCCGCGAGAAGAAGGGTCCGAGACAGGCCAGGACCGGGAGGGCGACGGAGACCGGGACCGGAGCCAGGACAGGGAGAGCGGCGGGGACCAGGACCAGGAGAGCACCGAGGACCGGGACGGGGACCAGGAGAGTGCTGAAGACCAGAACCACAGCTCAGAGTCGGAGCGACCGCTCCACATTCTGTGGCCGCACAGATGGTGAGTAGTACCGACGATTTGATCACGGTGGACGCGGGGGATACTGGGTAAAGCACCATTGTCCTTTCTATGAAGTGATAGTTTTAGTTGTCAATCACGAATGTAACTTTGTGTCCGTGTTGTTTTCAGGGAGCATGACAAGAACCCGTCGCTGTTTTTCGACACGCTGTCACGGCTACACGAGGAGGGGGTGCCGTTTCGACTGTCAGTGTTGGGAGAGCGGTGTCGGGAGGTACCGGACGTGTTCGAGCGAGCACGGACCCAACTGGAGGTGAGGACCGGGGCCGGGGGCGATAGGGCTTAAACGGCTAGACATTGCTGCTTGTGATGCGGCATGGCAAGCGGTTGGGCGAGCCTTAGCCAGGGAGTGATGGGTAGAATCTACCCGCTAGATCACAAACCCGCATTCACAAACGCTTAAGTATCGGTTAAAGTATGTCACGTTGCAATCCCATCCAGTCATGCGGTAACAATCTCTTAGACGTGGGACGATTGATGAATTTTTTAATGTCAATGCATACAATACATACATACATGAGCTACTACGCGTTCCGCGTTCCGATAGGACCATATCGAGCACTGGGAGTACCTATCCTCCAAGGAGGAACTAATGACTGAACTATGTGCTGTATCCTGACAGGACCATATTAAGCACTGGGGTTACCTACCCTCCAGAGAGGACTACTGACTGAACTATGTGTCGTACCCCAACAGGACCATATCGAGCATTGGGGCTACCCCATAGAGGCGACTGAACTATGTGCTGTGTCCTGACAGGACCATATCGAGCATTAAGGCTATCCCATAGAGGCGACTGAACTGTGTGTTGTATCCTGACAGGACCGTATCGAGCACTGGGGCTACCTGCCCTCCAGGGAGGACTACTGGCGCGTGCTGGGAGCGGCTGACGTGGTCGTCTCCACCGCCGATCACGAGTTCTTCGGCGTCGCCGTGTAAGTGACTTGAAGATACTCTGTGCGGCTGTATGTAATATGGACAGTGGAATGGCGGAGGGTGGAACGTGAGGGGCGGGGAGTTCGTTTGTTGTGATGTTCGGTTGGTGTTGATGATAATTGATAAGTATCTATTTTTTATGATCATTCGTACCTTATTTTCCCTGATGTGGACCTCTTCCGGCCGAACTGGTGACTAATAGAGGGGGAGGCTGCCACTCCAAATTTGACCCCTACCTTGGTGTACCAGCTGCCTGACCCGCCGTCTGCCCGGTCTCCGCGGCAGCCTGGAGGCGGTGTGGTGCGGCTGTCTGCCGCTCTGCGTGGACCGGCTCGTCTACCCGGAGTGGTTCGAGCGTCGCCTGCTGTTCCGCACCCCAGCCCAGCTGCTGAAGCGGCTGAGACAGCTGTGCCGGCGGCCAGGGACGGCTCGCACGGAGCGGCGCCAACTCCGACCGGACCTGGAGCGGTTCGGGTGGCCGGCGCTGAGAGAGCGGTACCGCGAACTGCTCGGCCTGCCGCCCGAACGGGACGGGGAAGAGAACCGTGAGGGATACGGACACAGGGAATGTGGTGGTGGCAGCGACAGTGGTGGAAACATGGGAGGAGACAGGGACAGTGAAAAAGATGTGGACAGAGAGCCAGGCGAAGGAGCGGGCGGTAATAGAGACGGTTGTGAATGTGATGGTAATCAGGAGTTAGGTAGATAACCACTTGTGAATTGTGGGGATACCGGCGCGTCAAGTGCGGGCAAACTGTCGGATCGTGAACTGCGGCGAGATAGCGGTGTAAGGTGAATATGTCGTATTTCAGTGAGTGTTGCTAGTTTCACCGTTCTGACTGCGCCGCGTGTTGACGAGTGGATTTGCAACTTGAGAGGTGCTGCTCGAGATGTCGTCCACGCTGATTTTATACGTTTTGTAATGGTTTAGTACCACGCTGCTATTGTTGTTGTTTTTTTTTTTGGTGTGTCGATTGATTATGTGCCCAAATTTGTGATAAAGCTGTTAAAGAAATAAATTGATCATCTTACATTTGCCTTTTCCCTCTTGGCAGGCTCAGTTAACCCTCGCCCGCACATAGGGGGGGGGGGGGTACCACCCCCAGGTAGTTTTTCTGCTCTGCACTCAACATTTTAGAACTTCAACTTTCAACATTCAAGCTAGAAACCTGATTTTTCGTATAGCTGCTCCTCTATCCTTTTTACAGCTTCCACTGAATGAAAATTTCAAGTTTCTGTGGTTTCTGGTTTCGGAGATATGACCTTGTTTTTCGGTCATGTCATGACCCAAATGACCAATACTCAGCATCTTGCGTTGGCTATGGGTCTTGTGAGTTTTTGACACCTTGATTTCGGTATGTTTTTGCTAGTCTTACCTCCCACCTATCATGGCACATGTTATTCTACAATGTGCAGATGTCTGGGTCAGGGTCAAGATCAAGCTAGGTCATCTAAGAAGGTTGTATTTTAGGTCTGCTGAATTTACTTTTCATGAAGTTTTTTGACTGCATTTTTGATAAAAGCTTCTCAGATCATGATCTCATGCAATAGGGACACAAACCAATCGGTGCACACATCAGTATACAGTATACACATAGACATACAAACATATATCATTGACCTTGACCTAGCTTGACCTGAAATGACCACAGCCGGTAAAAAAACCTAGTCGGATAGTGTGACAAAGAGCTGTTCTAGCTGGCTTGGCACCACAAACGGCAGCGCCATCGGTATATGATGGGCACCGCACGTGATATTCCAACGGTGGCCCCAAACAGCAACATTTTTAGTTTGACCTGACCTGGGAGGTCAATGATTGACCTAATTAGGTAAAATTGGGTACCATTGGATTCGTCTCTTCCCAAAGAATCTGTCTGTCTTTGCCGCGAAGCTCCATCTCCAGCAGGAACGAAATGGTCCCCATGTGCGTTCTAGGATGGGAAAATGGCATGTGCGGGCGAGGGTTAACAAGTCCACAAACGATTGTCAGCCAGTGGGCTTCCTACTGACGTGTATGAGATAGCGTCAGCGAGGTGCCGACGGATCCAGACCTCCGCAACATTCATACTGTACAATTTGTAGCCGTCTTCGCATAGGAACGAAACTAAGCATTAAACTTCTACATTCTGAAAGAACTAGAAAGGTTGCTTCGCGTTGCACTGGGTAGCGATATTCACAGGTTTGGAATTTGAAACCATTTTTCAGGTCCAATTGTAGGGGTTTCACGCATCGGAACCTGCAACCTTTTATTGGTTCCCCCCCATGTACAGACATTACGTTAATCAAAGTTACTCTACAATGCCCGCCTGCCACCCGGGTGTATTAAACTAAGCGGCCCGTATGATTGTTCGTTCACGTTCACCGTGGATCAGCCCGGCATCTGCCTTTTACTCCCAAGAAAGATTTCGCTCACATTCCGAACTCTATGTATTTTAGATTTGCGGGATAAAATGATCACTCCTCAACTTCCATCGCTCACGCACACAGCACACATCACACTTTCAACCGCTCACTCATTAACCCTACGCGCCGCGCCGATGAATATAATTTAGACGGGACGGCCCTGGATATGAACGGGAGAGCCCACCGCTATTTGCGGCGGGTCGGAAAGCCAAATAAAATCCAGGACATATGTCGGGGACTTCCGCAGCGCCTGGGCGCTGCGGCGTTAATTTAGGGGGGATGGAAAAGATCGCTTACCGAAAGATGTTGCCCCGACGAAACCGCACTGGCAAATGCCTCGAGAGACGGGCCCGCGAGTCCCAGGTGCCGGCCAGCCGCTGCCTTTCACCCGGCGGGCACGCCTTTCCCGCCGGAGGCAAACATACGGCGGACTGGCCTAACGCGCACTCTGGTTCTCCGGCCCGCCGCTCCACACACTCTCTGACGCGCTCAATTTTGCCCTTACATAATAATTCTCCCTCCCACGGACGGTGAAAAAGGGTCCCCTTACTCCCCCAGGTGAGAACCTTTCCACTATCTCATTCGCGCTTGACAATCATTATACCTACACAACACATGCGACATACATTCTACAGACATCCTACATACATTCTACAGACATCCCACATACATTCCACAGACTCCCGCCCCACGCCTTACATGCACAGTCGCCCTGCCCACGCTCCCGCTCATCGCCCCATTGTTCATTCCGCCTGCCACCCTCCTGCCAAGCCCTTCTCCTGCTGCTCGCATTTTTCGCAGCGCCGATCCGTCGCCAGCTCTTCCTTCCCACGCTCGCTCGTATCGCCTCGCTCTTCTGGCCCTCGACCCCCCGCCATGAACTGGTCCTTGGTTGGAGGTCGCCTGGATTGGTAGCACACGCGCGCGATGCTCAGCCGGTAGCGCACGCTACCGCCCATAGCCGGTGTTCGCGGACGGTGGACACCTTGGTGGGCGGCCGCCTCCCTGGGCGACCGCACTCTATCTCAGCGCCACCGCCGCAATCCGGGGCTTCTTGGGCGGCAGTCGGTGCCCCCGCTTGTAGGATGCGTGCTCGCGCGCCGCTAGGTGTCGTTGCGACCGTCTCCTTCTGCCAAGCCCGCCTCAGAGTTGGACGGCTCCCGCCAGGCGTCCCGGGGTCGCGCCACCAGGTGGCGGTGGCGGCGGCGGCGGCGGCGGTTCATGGGCGCGGGTGGTGCGCCGTGCCCGCCGCCTGTCACGCTGCCGCCAGCTTGGTGCGCCACCGGTAGAGGGCGTCGACCTTCAAATCCGGCATCCACCAGGTGGCGGTGGCGGCGGCGACGGCGGCGGCTCATGTGCGCGGGTGGTGCGCCGTGCCCGCCGCCTGTCACGCTGCCGCCAGCTTGGTGCGCCACCGGTGTAGGGCGTCGACCTACCACCAGGTGGCGGTGGCGGCGGCGACGGCGGCGGCTCATGTGCGCGGGTGGTGCGCCGTGCCCGCCGCCTGTCACGCTGCCGCCAGCTGGGTACGCCACCGGTGGAGGGCGTCGACCCCCGGGAGCTGTCATGTGGCGCCTCTGCACGGCCGGCATCTGAAGCTGCCGCCCGACCCTATGCTGCCGCGGATACCCGGGCCGCTGGTGCCGGATCGGGCGGCTGTCGACAGGTGGTTCAGCTGTATCCCAGCCCGTGCAGAACCGGCGGGGCCGTCAGGTCGGCCGGCCCGGCCGCCGTTACACACTATACCGCCGCGGCCATTGGCACCGCGGTTTCCAGTGGGGCGGCCGCAGGCTGCTGACCGGCGCGTGGTGAGACGGGCCGAGCTCCACCGTCTAACGCACTGCCGCGGGCTGGATGGGACTGCTAGCAGATGGCGCGACGGGGCAGCGACCGAGCGCAGCCGCCCGTACTGCCGCGGCTTTTGAACGCCGCGGGGTCCGGGCAGCTGGGAAGACGGCTGGAACGGCGGGGCGGCGACCGAGCGCAGCCGCCCGTACTGCCGCAGCTCTTGAACGCCGCGGGGTCCGGGCAGCTGGGCAGACTGCTGGAACCTGCTGGAACGGCGGGGTCGGCGACCGAGCACAGCCGCCCGTACTGCCGCAGCTCTTGAACGCCGCGGGGTCCGGGCAGCTGGGCAGGCGGCTGGAAAGGCGGGGCGGCGACCGAGCGCAGCCGCCCGTACTGCCGCAGCTCTTGAACGCCGCGGGGTCCGGGCAGCTGGGCAGACTGCTGGAACCTGCTGGAACGGCGGGGCGGCGACCGAGCGCAGCCGCCCGTACTGCCGCAGCTCTTGAACGCTGCGGGGTCCGGGCAGCTGGGCAGACGGCGGGAACCGCGAGGTCGGCGGCTGCGCGCGCCCGCCCGTACTGCCGCAGCTCTGGTTCGCTGCGGTGTCCGGGCAGGCGGGCGAGCGGCCGGAGCGGCTAGGTTGGTGGCCCAGAGCCGCCGCCCCCTACTTGTCGCGGCCTTCGTCGCCGCAGGGTGCGGCGGGGCGTCTGGTGGGCCGTACGGCTAGATGATCAGCGAAGCGCCGCCGCCCGGCCCGTACCGCCGAGGTCCTGGTTGCCGGTGGCTCCAGGCTGGCGGCTGGTCGCTGGCGGATTGGGTGACGTGCCTGTGGGAGGGCAGGGTCCTTCCCTCCCCTCATCATTCCGCCCTTACGATACACATACGTACACAATACACATACATCGCGGCATACACACACATACATCGCGGCACTCAGCAGCACACATGGTTACGATAATCGACAAATTTAACTCCCAGGTGCTCATGAAACATGATTATTTAACCTTTTTATACTCGTAACATCACGATACTGTGGGAAACTTTCATAACTTAATCACCGTCCGATAAATTTTGAATGGAATGTGGGTTTTTTATTAGTGATAGCGAAACCTCGAACCAGTCCGCCACCTTGTAGGAACTGATCTACCCATAGTCGAAAGAACAGGCATAACCCAAATCGGGCCCAATGCCCGACTATCCACCACTTAGGTATGTTAATTGGTGGTCTCTCTCTCTCTCTCTCTCTCTCTCTCTCTCTCTCTCTCTCTCTCTCTCTCTCTCTCTCTCTCTCTCTCTCTCTCTCTCTCTCTCTCTCTCTCTCTCTCTCTCTCTCCATCTCACTCATTCACTCATTCTGCTCCTCCATTTCCCGGCTCCTCCACCTTGCCTCTCCACTCTCATGCATATGTCCGTCCATGCGTCAAAGACATTGACCGAGGATACCTGAGGGTACGGGGCAAATGCGTTAATGTCTAGGTTGGGTGGTTGGAAAGTCCGCTCCTGACACGCCCTTGCTCGCTCAGGAATTCGAGGTCAATGTCTTCTTGTCCCTTCCCCTTGGTTGCATTTGTTTTCCCAACACATCTCTCTATTCTATTCCACTCAGGCAATTCGCTTCTGTCGTTCCCTCGGCCATGTCCCCCCATTCATTCACTCACTCACAATCCATTGCTCCTTCACCTCAATCATGTCTCCTCATCCCCATATGCTCATTCACCCCAGTCATGGTCTCGTCAGTCCATTCGCTCCCCTCACGTCCTCCTTCCCACGCGTCCGCCGCTCGTCGGTTCTCCCTAGTCATTTAAGTGTCCTCCCCCAGTCATTACCCGGCCCCATGCCCGCACAAACACATTCCCTCCCCAGCCCGAGACCCATCCCTCCCCAGTGCCCGGACAAACACAATCAGACACCTGCCTTGCCCTCCCAACGACCCACGGCGCGACAGGCGGTCCACCTCTCGCGTGCCGACCAGCGCTCTCGGGCGCTTCATCGCACGACTCTCTCTCTCTCTTTCTCGCGCGACTCTGTCTCGCGCGACTCCCTGTCTCGCACGACTCTCTCGTGCGACTCTCTCTCTCTCTCTCTTTCTCGCGCGACTCTGTCTCGCGCGACTCTCTCGTGCGACCCTCTCTCTCTCTCTCTCTCTCTTTCTCGCGCGACTCTCTGTCTCGCGCGACTCTCTCGCACGACTCTCTCGTGCGTCCCTCTCTCTCTCTCTTTCTCGCGCGACTCTTTCTCGCGCGACTCTCTGTCTCGCACGACTCTCTCGTGCGACTCTCTCTCTCTCTTTCTCGCGCGACTCTGTCTCGCGCGACTCTCTCGCACGACTCTCTCGTGCGACCCTCTCTCTCTCTCTTTCTCGCACGACTGCGCGACTCCTTCGCGCAATTTCCTCGCGGCGCACGCGGCGTATACTAATAACTACATGACATGTGCATATGAAGTTTGAACACATAACAAAAACACTACTTCAACACTCATTCATCCACACTCGGCTGATCAATCCAACATTCATTTCTCGGTGGTCAGGTACCATTGCGCCATCCTCCCCTCGGGGGAGGATAACCAAAGGCAGCACTCCCACGTTGCCTCAACGATCAGGGGCGAGGTGCCTCTCTCGCTCCCAGCGCCTCAGAGGCCGCCCCTCCGACGGGTGATTAGATCAGCCGACCGGCGGAGGGAAGGGCTGTTTGGCACTGGCAGGCTGAGTTAGGGACCCACCCGGATCCCAGACGGCCAAGCCGCGCGGAGGCTCCATTCACTCCCGTGTCCATGCGCGAAAAGATCGGAATAATTTAAATTAGCGGTTGAAATTAAAAAGGGGCGCCAAACACCCGCGGCGAAAGCTATCAATCTGAAGGAAGACGTCCCCTAATAGTTTTCTCCCAGCAGTTAAATTGCCTTAGTCATCTCCATCCAATGTATACGGTTATATGATATATTTGCTCGCGTCGCAGAGCGCTCCTAAATAAACGTACGCAAATATAGGTCGAGCCGGCTGTGGCCCGCCCAGCCTTCAAATCTCCCCTCTACCGGCTGGCGCGGCCGGCCAAACGGCGGAGGGTCGACTTGTTTTGACGCTCTGGTCAGGAGGGTCAGTAACCTGGCCGAACTCCAACCAGGCCGGGGTGATGGCACCCTCAGCCCCTTGCTCAGGTGCGCAGTCTAGTCGGCCCATGTGACGGTCCGACCGACCCAGGTATCCGGTCCAACCGGCCCAGGGGCCGGTCCAGTCGGACCAGGTACCGGTGGCCGAAGGGTTCGGCGGTGATATCGCACAGTGCGGCGCCGCGCGGCACGCACTTCACTCGGCTAGTCACCGAGTGATTGGAACGGCGCAGCGACGACGCCCGAGGCGCGGCGCGCCGGCCCATCCTGCCGACCGACTCATGGGGACGGCGGCACCTGTGGTGCGGGTGATGGGGCTGTTGAACCCCTTCATGTCCGAGACACAACACCGAGGTAACTGGCGACTGTGCTCCGGCCTGGAGCTTCTCCGAAGGCTTTAAGACGAAATTCATGCTGAGTACATGAGAACATTAGTGACCGTTCTCCTGAAACATCACCAGAACCGCTGATGCTAAATTTTGATTGGCAGACGATAGGTACGCTAATTGTGCCGCACTGAGTTCTTTCGCCTCATCTCTGATGCTGCCGTTACAACAAATAAGTTCACTGATATAACCCGTTAAAACTATACATTACGACGTCCGAAACTTATTAAGACGGCATGCGCAGTACTGTTAAAGATATGCGAATCATTCTCGTATGGATGGATTTGTCTCGAAGTGAAACAGATAAATAAAAAAACATATACCTATACCGGACACGAATTTCCCAAAACTGCATGCCTATTTGGCGTGCCGCTCATTCTGCCTACCAATATGGTCAAGATATTGATTGAAAACCTAGAAGCGAACAATTTTGGATAATCAAGGTCCCTCTCTAATACGTTGATTTGTGCTGTATGAGGCGCCTTTTATCGCAATAATCTTTCCAGAAGGAATGATGGCGGCCATTGCGCCGTATATCGATTAATCAGAAGGTTTCGGTGCCGTACTGAGTGATTATGGGGTTAATTGTCTCATTTGGTCCGTTTCGGAACGATAACTCTATCTTCCAAAATTATAGATGTTATGGAGTAAAGACGCAAGATGATGCACTAGTCAAAATAAAAGAGCGTTCAGACATCAAAATGACCGCGTTGGTTTTGAATCACATCGGCAACACAAAGCCACCGTCGTCTGGGGTGTGCTCGGCAGCAGGCGGCCAGCGACGGGCGAGTCCAATGACTCCGGTGTTGTTATTGCGGACCGGCCCGGTTCGCCGCTGCTCCTTGGCGGCCCTCCGCTGCCCTGCGTTCTGCGGGTTCAGGTTGTCCCGCCCCGAGGCGTTTGGGATCGGCCGTGCATGTGGCGGCTCTCGCCTTCGGTCGGGTGGGTGGCCTACCCGTGGCGACCGGCTCGATCCCATGGCCGGCGGCGCGATCCCATCACGATGGGAATGCGTCCCTTCTCTGGGACGGTCGGGGAGGGCCCTGCCGCGGACCTGCCACCCCCTTGCGCGGGCGGCGCGGTGGCTTGACCATAATTGCTCGGTCCGGCGCCGGCCCGGGCGCTGACAGGTGCGCGTGGTGTGGGAGCACGGGGGTCGGATCCAACCCGTCTGCTTGAGCAGGTGGATATCGGCAATCTGGCGGATCCGATTTGCCCTCGGGCCAATGATAGTGAAGCCTAAACCGGGCACTCACACACCGCTCAGGAATACATATGATATGATATGAAATACAACACGTGCTTCACAGTAAATTAACCCGTACTGCACAACAACATGCATTGTACAACACGCGAGAACTGACAATGTGGCACATGCTATATTATACATCATATGAAATCACCCGTTACTGGTGTGGCAGCGCACGGCAGCGCCAAGCCCATAACCGTCCAGGAAAGTCACTGGATGGGCCCGTGCTGCTGAATTTGCTGGAGCGCAGTCACGAACGGAGTCGGCTCAGCAACTAGGGCTTTGTGTCACCTCCCGCCGCGTCAGCTTCGGTTGGAGGCTCGAATATGACGTGTGCGGTCGCGACGGATAGAATCCGCGCCACGTGGATTCAAATGTATTTGCCTCGAGTGTGCATTTTAAAGTCCAATAAACACATGTTTTGCTCTTCTATACAGAACAAATTAAATTTCCTACTTTACGAAATGATTTAGGCTCCATTTGACGGCAAGGTGACGATTAGTGCCTGGCAACACTTTAGAGAGGATTGAAAATCCTACAAGATTAATTCCGGATTATCTGTCAATTCGAAGCCGAAAATGGTCCAAGAGATACCGTCCTACTGAGTCACCATGAAATGGTTGAGGGGCGCTGGGTTCATCGATATTACTCAATGCATTTAATCATAAACTGTAATTCTATATAACGAAGATACGAACTTATGCAGCATGGAATTTAAATAAGGGCACATTTGACTGAGCACTCAGCGCTCCATTTGAAGAATTTCTGGTTAATAAATGTTGCCATTAAACCTGGAATCAAAGCCGTTTAGAACTTGTTTCTGGTTCGTGACTGAACTTAGTTGAGTATCGCTACCACATTTTGAGCAAAATTACAACGCAAAAACTGAACTTAGTTGAGTATCGCTACCACATTTTGAGCAAAATTACAACGCAAAAAATGCATGGAATGAACGAACTAATGAACTACTTTGAACATAACATTGAAGATTTGACAAGACATTTTACGTTTGCATCAGAAGAAATTGCAATGAACCGTAAGCGTTAATCCATTCCCTGGATTAAAAAAGAGGAGAATGTGCTCGGCGTGCACCGCCTTGCGCCAGACCTTGACATCGGGTTCCGGATATAAAAGGTGCAGCTGCCAGAATGTGCGGCTCATGTTGGTGTAACGTGGGGTAATAATTAATCAGGGCTTTGCTGCCGAGCTAAGCTTGCCCGCTTTAAACACGCACAACCTCGATGCCGTCCTAATGGCAACTCGTCAGCGCCACAAGGTGCACTGAGTGCACGGCTTTACGGGAGGGATCGTCATCCCCGCTTAAAAACTCCGCTTAAAAACACCCAACCATAATTTCCCCGATCCACTGCACCGATTATGCCTATATATCCCGTAAAACCATGGACATTCCAGTTAATATCTTAAGATGCAATTAATATGCACAGCAAAGATGCACTGCACTTAAGACTATAGATATAATGCCCTGTGGTCTAAACGATTGTTCAAGCAATCGCAGGAAATGTCTAAAGCCTCTATGGTCTCATTATGAGGCGTGAATGACAGGCGACACATGAAGCAATTTGCTACATAGTTAAATCAGGTGTATGAATGGAAGCAAATTGATTACTAATCATGAAAGCAAATTGATTACTAATCATGAAAGCAAATTGATGACAAATAAGTAAAATTCAATTTTCCGCATCTTTTCGTGACCACACATGACCTTGTTCGCACTAACTCAATCACACCAACCGTAACATACCTGTACACCAAACGATCCAATCATGCGCCCACACATGTAACACTGAAATACCGGGGTATTTCGCGGCCCTCGGTACTCACCGGTGACGACCTTCTCGTCGCCATCACTCCCAGCGGTGACGGCTCGTCACCGGACTCTATGATTCCGCCGACCGGGCGAACCTGCACGCTCGCGCGCGACCGACGACGGCGACGCGAGCACTCTTCTCGCGTACATGCGGACTCCATTCCGCCCGAGCGAACTCTTCCGCACCGCCGAACGCCGTCGATCTCATCCCCGATCTCCGACGGTCTCGCGCGAACCGACTGCCCTCATCTCTCATCTCTCATTATTGCGGTGGCAAATTGTCCCCCCATGCCCCCCTTTAATTGGACTGATTCACGCGTGTGAACGTGACGAAAAGTACGGAAGCAATAATTTACACAAGATATTGAAGCCAAAAGTAAGAACAGCACGACCGGTAAGCATCTCCAAGGGAGCGGAAATGGCCGAACGGCGCCCACGTCATGTCCTTTGACCCCGCCTCTGCGACACCCGGGCTCCGTCCGGGCCTCCCTCACGGCATTATCAGGACCGATCGGCGTTTTATCCCGGGTAGCGCTGGCCTTCCGTTG